ATTGCATATTTATGCAGAAAAGGTACTCATCTTGTTTGGATGAAAACAATAGGCTGTGAAGGAAATTATCCAGAGAAAAAGGTCAAGGGATATGTCAAAATGACAAGATAGAATATGGATCCAATAGACGAGAACAACTTGAGAGAAGCTGATCATGAAGTTGAATTCTGCATTGCACTTCGTCTTTCCTTCCCTTCGACAAATCTTCAAATGAGCATCACAACAAGCATCTTTCTCAACTCAAAAAACAACTTCCTGCAGAGATAGAGGAGCAACAATCATACAATTCCGAATAAGTTCTATAAAACTTTGAAAGATATCGTTGTCTGCTTGCAAGAGAATGCAATCACTGCACCACTCCTTCCAAAGCATCAATTTGTTTACTTATTTGCTTCGGCTCATTCTATGATTCTGATTTTGATTTTGACTAGCGTCATTCCTTCCAATTGGTGGATTCAACTCAGCACCATCACCAAAATTTGCAAAATTATCTACACCTCTTCCTCTGTTATCCATCTCTCTCTCTCTCTCTCTCTCTCACGCGCGCGCGCACACACACACACACACACACACAAGAACTAGCAATAGCACTAGCATTGTAATGTTGAACCAGATCTGCATTTCATTCAAAAGAAATACCAAAATTGCAGATACGGACACTGCTGGAGCAATTCAAGATCAGATCTGCTGATGTGAACCAAATTCAAACCACATCCGAACCAAACTTAAGCCAATCAAACTCATATCAGTACAAATCAAACCACTTCGAACACAAATCTGAGAGATTCAGACCAAAAGAAAGCCTCAATCAAACCTTTTGGACGCATATATGAAGGAATCGAACCAATTTGATCCAAAAGAAGGCTTCACTCTAGCCTTTCGAACACAAATATGAAGGCTGCGAACCAATCGAACCAGATCTGAGGGGCTTCAGAAATCCCTCCCGCACTAATCGAGCAAAGATTCAGAATATTTTGGAGCATTCAACACACATGAGGAAGTTAATTGAACTCCAAAAGTCGTTCATGATGCTTGTTCAACATTCAATCTGAGATCGCGATTTGCATTTCAGCCAGCAGATTGAAGTTCTTATTGAAATTCACACCAAAAATTGTTCAATTACGGTTCGAAATGTTTGGGATCTCAATTTCGATCCAGTCTTAGGAGTTTGCCAGCTTTGAATTTGGTTAACAATTGCTTCTCACATATTTGTGATTCAATCATTAAGGCATTCACACAGTTGTTCACGCAGCTTTACAATACTTCGAAGCTCATATGGAGATGCTTGTAACTTCAACTCAAGAGTCAAGGTAAATACACAAAATCTATTTGCGAATTAGGTATCATACTTCTTGCAAGGTGAAGCTGGTTGATGCGACAGTCTTCAAGCTCAAATTTGAATAGATTCAAATCATGCGATTGGCAAATGTTCGGATTTGAGGCTTGAGCTCTGATACCAAATGATATAATATAAATGCAAATCACAAATCAAATCTAGAGAAAGAGAAGAAAATCCCTAATTTGGGGGTAAACCTATAAGGGTGGAGATAAACTACAGTACTTACACCAATCAATATATGTACTATTCTTTAACCAAAAAAGCTAAGTACAATGACCCTTGAATCATCTATTTATAGATTAAGGCCAATAACAACTACAACTAATTGGACAGTTTACAGACAAAGCTAATGACACCTAAGCATGAGACTCATTTTTCATTTTTAAGATATTTATTTTTTTACTACATCGCCAACACTTCCAAATTGGTGTCGTAGTTGTGTTAGACACGTGTGGGGAGATGGACAGGGTGGGGACATATATTTTAATAATTTTTTTTTTAAGGGACATGCTTTGGCACACGGCAAGGTTTTGTTTTGTTTTTTTGAAGCTAATTTCAGGGGTCATATTATAATATTTGGAAACATGAGAGTTGAATTTATAAAAAAATAGAACTCATGCCAAACCATCAACAACACAACTCAAATCTAACCATAGTTGTGAAGTCTGTGAAGTTGAGAAACTGGCTTCTAATGATCCTTGGATCCTAACGTATAACGATTCTGGTTTAGATCCAACCCATTTATTGCTTTTGGATCCGAGAACCTGTGTATTTAACTGTTGTTCAGTTCATTTTCAACTTCTTGTTGTTGAGTTTGGCTATTGGGAGTGTTGGTTGTGTTTGAAACAAGTTGGAAAGTTAGTTTTTCAAAGAATTGTTGCCCAGAATTTTGCTTGTGTGCTTGAGCGACCATTTCTGCGCTCGAGCGGTCTTTTGTAGTATGTAAAACTACTGAGAGTTTGATATCTTCGCTCGAGCGGTTCTTCTTGCACTCGAGCTGTCTTTTGCAGGTCTGAATTTCTGAGAGGGGGTCATTATGCATTTGAGCGGTGGTTTTGGTCACTCGAACAGTGTCACTTATTATGTCTGTCGCTCTAGTGGTCTGTGCGTATATCAGTTCGAGAGAAGGCCATTTTCAGTCACTTTTTCACCTCTCTGTTTAACATTTCAAAACCCTAGATCCAACCATTCTTTCTCTAGTTCTCATTTTTTGCTCCAAATACTCTCAATTCGTGAGTTTCTTTACCTTAGGCCTCGTTTGGCAAGTGGTTTTTTTAGCTAAAAAGTCAAAAAGTCACTAAAAAAGCCAAAAAGCCAACAACCCATACCCAAAAGTCAAAGATTCTCTTTTCTCTCTACTTTTTGCACATCTTTTCGTAAAAAGTCAAAAAGTCATCCCAAACATACTAGTTTTTTTTATCTCATATTTTAGCCAAAAAGCCGAAAAGTTACTAAATTAGTTTGTTCCCAAACGAGGCCTAAGTCCTTTGGTGAAAAACGTTGAGTACGTCAAGGATTTTATTTAATCGAAGCATTTAGCGTTTTTGACTCTGTCAAGTTCTATCCATCTTTTCTTCGTGTCTTCTACTTTGAGGAAGGGATTCCTTTGACTCTTTTTTATGATTTTTAGCTTAGTTATTTATTCTTTGAAAAAGGTTATTGATTTGGAAATTTTCGGTAAAACCTAGGGTTTGGTTTGAAATCAAAAGAGGGATTTTTCAAATTGATTCTTGAAAATGGTTGTGGGAATATGGTTATGGATGAGTTGTGTTGAAATGATGGAAACCTTTTCTTAAAATTGATTTTGAAAGAAAACGGGTTTAACCCGTAATTTTGGATATTTGGAATTGTGAAAGGGAAATGGAAAACGATGTTGGATATTGTGAAATTGGAATAATGGTTGCGTTGATGATGGTGGAGTTGGATATGTAATATCACTCCCATTGTACTTGATGAAAATGTATCTTTTGATTGGAATTTATCTATCGAATAGAAATATCTGTTTTGGGCTATCGGTGGAAGATAGTCTTGATTGTTGTAGACATTGCATGAGGATTAGGTTGAGTCGAAATTAATTTTTCATCCATTGTGCATTGAGCATCATTACACATTGAACATTGTAAATGTATTGGTTTTTGAGAAAAATGGGTGAATATCTTGGTGAATTTGGTTAGGGGTGTGGTTGTGGTTATGATGTTGGCCTATGTATCTTTGGTGAAAGTCCAAAAAACCACGCAGTTAGGTGCCTATCCCTTCGGTTAATATCGGTAAAATGGCTTTCGTAGTGCTTGTATAGCCTATTGGCAGACATGTACTTAGAGATTCGTGTGTTTTGTATCCATTACCCTATTTTTTGTATAAAAGGATTATTTTCATGAGTTGATAAATAATCTGGCATTACATTGTTTTGAGATGGAAAACGAGAAATGTTTGGAAAATGGCATGCATATATACTCACTTTATGATTTTGCTAAGATTCATATACTGTGTTAGAGTATCTCTACTAGTCCTTGGCTCACCCTTTGTGGAAAAAAACTTTGAGGTGCTGATGATATGCCTTCGCCAAGGACATAGCTTGAGAGGACTCGGAGCTTAAGGCTTCCTTTTTGGTTTCTTGATGTAATTATTTTTGTTTAAGACTCGGGTTTTACTTGTATTGAGTTAAACTCATTTTTGTTGTAACCAAGTATCGTCTTAGAAAGTTGTAGTCATTAGGGCATTTCCTTATTTGGTTTATTTTCATTTTTACTCTTGTATCCATGCCATATGCTATGGATTCAGAATCTAGGATTTGTGAATATATATTGCATATGTCATTTTTGTAATCCTCAAGAATAAAATTAATAGAAGAGATAAGACTGTTGATCAATTGTAGCACTGTTATGAGATGGGTTAATGTTAATTATTTCGGGGCGTTACATAACGCAACATATATTTAGTTTTTGACTGATTTAAATTTAGTTTTTTATTTTATTTTATTTTTAATGTTAAATTATTGTTAGTTTTCATTAGTTTTGTTTGTTTATGGATGTAATATTTGTATACATACCTAATAAAAATGTATATATATATTGTAGTATTCCCAACATGTTTGTAGCCTTATTTTTTCGAAATCTTAGTGTCCTATATTCATGTCTATGTCCGTATCTATGCTTCCTAGAAACAGGCCCATCGTCTCTTGAGCAAGAGAAAATATTTGACTAGGTCAGTAAACTAGTACAGACCCACTTCTTTCTACAAGCCAACCCTCTACATAATTTCTACCGTAGAATTCATACATTTTTCCTATTCATAGGCAAACCTCAAAAATCCTACTCCACATACAGTCAGGAAAACCTGTACAATTATCAGATTACCTTGTGGTTTCTGGATAACCTCACTCAAACACATGTACTAACACAATAAGTATATGGACTGCCAAAAAGTGGGACACACTTGTACGATAATTCTTTCCGTATAGCTGAAATTTAGCTGTAACTAAAAAATCTCTCCCTGGGATTTTGGAGCACAAAACCATTTCAACAGCAATCTCTTTCACCTCTTTTTCTGAAAATTTTGAAAATTCTGACTGAGAGGTACAGCTTTGCTCCTAGTTTACCCCGTCTCTCTTGCACACACACTAACAAGCACACAGAATTGATCATTTTCTCATGTTTTGCAGATGGATTTTGCCCTTCTTTTTTGCAATTTTTGGATCAAAACAGAACAGCAATTTTGATGATGATGTGCAATTGCTCAACTTAAATTCACGAAAGGTGCCTCCCTATGACTGGGTCAGGAATGCGGTGGACAAAATGCCTTCAAGGAACTTGAACGAGATTGAGTCAGAGTTAGGTCCGTTTTCCAGGCCAAGACAATCCCAAGAACGGCTTGCCCTCACAAAATTTTTGAACATGAGCCCAAATGAATTCTGGCAGAAGGTGATGGAAGCCACTGTTATTGGCAGTCATGCAATTGAAACTCCTCATCAAACTGTAGGTACAGTAATAGAAACAGAAAGAGAGGCAGAGGCAGAGGCAGAGACAGAGACAGAGACAGAGACAGATGATCAACTTGTCATTCAGCCACCAGTTGAACCATCACTTACCAGTGTAGAACTTCCTGACCAAGCAATGTGGGATATGTGCAAACAATTTAAGAGTTGTATGCTGTATTGTTCTTTGTTTCCAGTTGGTTACAAATTTGATAAGGATAGTTTGGTTCAAATGTGGATTGCGGAAGGGTTAATCGAGGCAGAAGAGAATGAAAGAATGGAGGATTTTGGCGGTCTGTATTTTGATTATATGTCCAAGTGGGAATATGTAGTGCCAGCTGGATTTGATCATGTTGGCAATCAGGAAACTTACAGAGTAGGGGAGGCTATGGCTTCAATACTCGAGAAAGAATCTTTGGCACCCCAATATTGCAGAGTTGAGGATAGTCACTTGGCTGATCTATCCATACTGTCAATGCATTTGTCTTTGGTATGCAACTACATTGATCAGAATACTTTTGAGGCGCTCAAAAGATGCACTAACTTGAGAACACTTCTGTTGCTTGGCCATTATGGTTCTTCTGTTAAACAAGTGCCTCATGATCTTTTCTTGGGCCTAGAGTTATTAAGGGTTTTAGATTTGAGTTGTACCCATCTATCTCAATTACCAAATTCCGTTGGCAACCTGAAGTCATTGCAATACATTGATGTCTCGGAGACACGCCTCAAACGGTTGCCTGAGGTGGTGGATTGCCTTCTCAATTTACAGACATTGAGACTCAGAGGTTGTTTAGACCTAGTTGGATTACCAAAAAACATCAGCAAGTTAGTCAACCTACGACATCTGGATCTTGATATTGCTCGTCAGTTAAAGTCAATGCCCACGGGATTGGGGAATTTAACTAACCTTCAAACTTTGAGTACATTCCTTGTTGGTAGGGAGGATGGATGTCGTATAGGAGAGCTAAAGAATATGAATAACCTTAGCGGATCATTATGCATTTGGAGACTTGAAAATGTTTTGAATAAGGAGGAGGCTAAATTAGCTGCTTTGAGTAATAAGAAGTACCTCAATAAGTTGGAGTTGCGGTGGGGTGATCTTTGGGATGAAAAGGCTGAGGAGGAAGAGGAAATCTTAGAATGTCTGCGGCCCCACTCTGGCCTCAAAGAGTTGCAGATATTGTTCTACAAGGGCTCAAAGCTGCCAAGTTGGATCAGTAGTCCATCATTTGTTAACATAGCTAGTATTACACTCTTCAAGTGCACAAGTTGTTATTTCCTCCCATCTATTGGAGAACTGCCATCTCTGAAGTCACTTACATTAGTTGAAATGAATAGGGTGAGAGATATTAATCGCCTGTTTTGCAGGGATGAAACCAGTCAAGGGTATAATGCATTTCCAAAGTTAGAGAAACTAACATTTGATGTCATGTTTAACCTAGAAGAATGGACAGGAGTGGAGAATGGCGACTTTCCATGCCTTCTTCAACTTACAATAAAATACTGTCCAAAACTAATTTCTCTTCCATGTCTTTCACTTCTCAGATCTCTTAAATATTTTGAAATTAGCCACTGTCCAGAGCTCTCATCTTTTCCTGAGGAGGGCCTGCCAGCGTCACTTGGATTTCTAATGGTGAGAAATTGTCCGTCATTAAAAGAACGGTGCCGAACGGGTGAAGGTGAAGACTGGTTGAAGATAGCACATGTGCCTAGCATATGGATTGATCACCAAGAGATTTTTTTAGATTGAGGATATGAGTGTCTCGACCTGTCAAGAGGTACGTAACACATTTGCTAATGCTCTTTTTTTTTTCCGTAGTAGTAAAGACTGAACCTGTTTTATTGCTGCTCGGTCAGATTGCAGTAGTTCTTGTGTGTCTTGTTTTGGAATTGATTCCATCTAAAAATCATTTTAAAGAATGCAATAGTTTAGTTTATTTACAGAAAATGGAAATTATGAAATTGATATATGTGATTCTTAATGCTTATAATGTCTTCTTCAAATTTTCCTTTTTGATGTAAGTTCACTTAATTATGGAGTTAGCATATTTCCTTGTTTGCGAAGCTTGCAAAATGAAATGAATATATATGAAATTCCCTCAGTTGCATTGCATTTCTTTCTTATAATGGCGTATTTAGAGGCGCAGAGCACTAGTGAATTTGGTGATTTGCTTCTAGATGCGTCACAATTGCTGGAACCTTTCATAATGTCCTTGCTTGAGAAAGTTCTAATATCTTCTTTAGGTTCCCTGTCAATTTCTTTGGGATGGTAGAAATCAGATCAAACAATTCTCTAGTCTACAGTTTTTCTGAGATAGCGTCTTCTGTTTCTTGTGTTTTTTCAAAAAATATATTTTTATTTTATTATTATTATAACAAGGAAATGTCTTTTTCCACTGGATTTGGCTGATCTTATGAACTTTGATTTTTAGTGAAAAACATGATTTCTGAGTCACTTTAATGTCTTATTTCTGTAGAAACCCTTCTTTGATTTTGAATGCTGTCACATTTGACTTCATCTCAAAAAGGCAGTCGCTTATTCTTCATCTCATAGTCCGTTCTAGTTATTTGGTTATATCTATCTGAAAATGAGCAATTTTACATTTAAAGAGCTTTAGTTGATGGGATTTCTTTGTTGTGTGTGTCTTGTTAGTTGTCTGTTATCAGAATATTACAATTTGTGATTCGATTCACGATTCGATTTGTAATTTTTACAAAATCAATATGAACTAAGCACGGACACTTCTAAGAAGGTGACGTATCCGTGTCGTGTCCGTGTCGGACACCGACACTCTTTGGATACTTCCCTGACACGTATTCGACACTCTTCAAAACGTGTCCTATTTTTTAATATTTTTTAAAGATACGGAAACTCTTTGGACATTTGGAGGACGCACATGTATATCTCTTAAACACGTGTCTATTGATTACATACATACATGTGAAACTAATTATAAGTTGAACAAAACAACTTAAGATACAATAATAAAACAAAAATCATATAAATTTATAGGGATTAGTGTCATATTGCATTTTTTATTATTTTTGAATGATATATTCATGTATATAACATATAATAAATATATAAAATTATATATTTTATGCGTGTCCCCCACGTGTCGTGTCCTATATATTTTGAAAATTAGCGTGTCGGCGTGTCCGTATCGTATCCGTGTCGTGTTGCGTGTCACGTGTCCATGCTTCTTATGATACGAATCTATGAGTGAATCTATTTTGGAAGTGAATAACCTATCGATTCGTTTTTTACGATTAATGCAATTCTTGAAACTATCGTGTCCAACATATTTTCGAATATTTTTTTTCTCCATCTTTTTAGTGTAATGACATAATACAATTTCTAATAGCGTTTAGTACCAAAATAATCTATATCTATGTATATATATATGATTTGTTGTTATTTTAGTGATCATGGAGTTTTAAATAAGATTCAATCAGATTCAGTCAGACCTAACTTATTTTTAACCTTCTTCATTTTTTTCTTAAAAAATCATAATATATCTTTTTTAAGATTAAAGTAACTTGCATCATGAATTATCTATTGCTATTTTGTTAAATTAAATATAGTTGAACATTATATGGGTGAGATCAATTATGTCTTTTAAAATATGTTATGCTTTAAAATAAAAGATCCTAAACAATTATATTATTTGGTCATTGTTATTTGGAAAAGTATGCATGCTTATTGTCTAAATATCAATATTGTTATTTTAGAAATTGAAAGTTTGTCTTTATTTACTATCCTTACTATCTTTATTAAGAATAGTTGATAAGAAATATCTATAAAGAGAAACCTTTATTAACTTCTTATCTATTAAACTACTTGACCATCATTCAAAATAACATTTTCATTGATTTAAGTCTAAATATTTCATATTAATATGATATATTTAACATCCAAAAGTGTAGATATATTTTTATAAGTAATTTAGAAAAAGTGACTGAATCTTTATGATTCATGATTCAATTCGATTTGATTTGTTACGAGGCCATTTCAATTCATGATCCAAATCCCAATTTGACAACTATTTGTCCTATCACATTTTTACCATAATAAATGATTACACAATCTGCATGACTTGTCCTGTAGTAGAACATGGATGACTCAAGTTTACTCTCTGAAGTGGGATACCTCATCCTTCTAGTTTACTGTATTGCTATCTTTAACAACTTCATATCATGTAATTTTCTATTAATAATTGTCTTGAAATTTATTGGTTCCATCAAAACTCCTGTTAGTCCAGTGCCTTAAGGGCTTCAACCCATTATCTTTCAACCAAGATATATCAAGGTTTTCACCCACTAGACAACCATGTTATTGGTTTTCAAATTTGATGTTAATTATAATTGGTAAATCTCTGCAATTCGTTTTATATTTATGAAAATTCTTCTATGAAATAGATTGAAACCCCCCAAAAATATATTATTTTAGATACAAGTCAATTTTAAATGTATTTTATAACTTTAATTGATCTTATAGATATTTGATAATAAACATTGAAAAAATCAAAAAATATCTAAATAATATATATATATATATATATCAGTTAGGAGACATTGTATAGAGAATTTTACATGCATGTACATGTTGGCTCCCCCAAGACTAATGTTTGGGATTTGTGATTGAAATAATCTAACTCAATTTACGGAGGAAAGGGAAAAAAAGAGCAACAAATTGTGGGTTTCTGGTGGTGATCTGGGAGCATGACTCGTGAGAATAATAGAGGAGGATGAGTCATCTAGGTAGTGTTGACATTTGACAGTTGAATCGTAAGGTATTCAGTGGATGCCACATCCCGGATTTACAGGAGCTGACCTACGAAGATCAATCATAAATAATAAGGAAAAGACGATATTAAATGTAATAAAAAGACCTCTCTTGTGTATATATGTGTATCAATGTCATTCAATACATGAAATTCTCCAATTACGGACATCTTATATTCAACATTTAGGTTGAGTAAATCTATAGTATGTAATTCAAAAACAATAACAATAAATATAACTAAAATGTCCTTAGGCTTATATCAAATAAAAAGGGTGTAGTCCTTACAAAAAGAATGGCACTTGGCCTACACAAAAGGGGCCCAAGGCCTACAAATCAAAAGAGCTTTCTGTATGAAGCATGGATATAGATACGATGCAGATACGGCCTATGAAGCATGGACACCTCTCCGAGGGCTACGTATTAGTGTTAGACATGGACATGCGGTGGACACGTGTCCGACACGTCGCAAAATGTGTCCTTTTTTTTTTTGCTTAGTCGGACCCGTTATGGACACATTTCGAACACTGTGGGGTCAAAAGCAAAATTTCTGAAACTTCAAGTGGGGGTCAATTTGTAAAAAACAAAAATTGAAGAAATCAAACCAAGTCCTAACCTTGATTTCAAACAAAAAGAGGAGAAGAGGCTGAGATAAGGTTGCTAGCTGCTCTTGCGAAGATATGTTCTTCTTTCGATCTTTTTCTTCTGATCTTCTTCTTCTTTCAATCTTCTTCTGCTTTTCGATCTATGTATCTCAATGGCTCTCTCTCGATCTACTCTCTCTGTTTCTTCTTCTTTTGATCTTCTTCTTCGACCTGTGTGTGTGTGTGCGCGCGCGCGTGTGTTTTGTTTTGTTTTGTTTTTTCTTTTTCTTTTTATATGCTGATTCACTCTCTTTCTCACTCCGTGATAGTCTTTTTATTTTATTTTTATTTTTACTTTTCTCCCTATCTCTATTATTGGGTTAATTACCTAAAAGTCCTATTTACAGATGTTATGATAGCTTAGGTCCTATTTAACATTTTTTAAACCAATAAGTCCTATTTAGTAAAAGTAAGAATATTATCAGTTTTTTTCAATTTTTAAAATTAAGAATATTATCAATTTTGTACAGTAATGTTCCAAATAATTGTTTCACTAACTGATGAAAAAAAACAGAGGATGAGGTTAAACGTTTTTACCCTTATACTTATTGATTTGATTCAACTATCTAATAAAACTGAGAATATTAACAGTTTTTTCAGTTTTAAAACTGAGAATATTATTAGTTTTTTCATTTTTGTTTTTGTTTTGTTTTTTGTTTTGTTTTGTTTTTTTTCCAATTTTGCACATCAATGTTCCATCATCATACTCCTTGATAGACACAAAATTTTCAGTTTTGCACAAAATTTTTTTTTTTTTGGCACATAATTTTTTTTCTAGTTTTTTCAATTTGAAAGTTGATGTTTTAAAGTTTTGAAAATCATAAATGTCAAATCATCATGTTCCTTTATAGATAATCATAAATGATGAATACTCATCATTTGAAGGGTAATTCCGACTATTAAAAATTTAATGGAACTTGAAGGTCCAAAAAATCTTAGTTAAGACTTAATGGAGTATAAGTTTATAAATTAGGACTTGTGTGTAAATGCCCTTCTATTATTTATTTAAATTATTTTTTTGTTTGGCTAGTTTATTTATTTTCTCTGACTTTTAATTTTTTTTTATATAATTTTATGACATATAATAAATAAATTTAATTATATATATTGAACGTGTCCTAGTGTGTCGTGTCCTTCATTTTTTGAAAATTTGCATGTCCGCGTGTTCGTGTCGTGTCACGTGTTTGTGCTTCATACGATAGGATATAGGTATAATTAGGATACATTTGTAATATATATATATATATATATTTTAAATTATCAGTAGTGAACACATAAGGTAAAGAATGTTGAGAATCATATTGTAATTTTCAAATGCAAAACACTAGTATTTAAGAATTAGGTATTAACC